CACATGCCCATATGCTTTCGGTTTAGCTCCTCTTCCATGTGAAAATATGCTTAAACTGAGGGTGAGCTGTGAACCACTTCAATTCAGTTGGAAACTGCTTTATCATGTTCATTGTATCCTTCACACTACACCTCGATCCTATCTTACAAGCCTTGCTATATTGCTCTGGACCAAAGTAAAACTTATCTGTTTGTAGTGGTGTACTATAATCCTCGTTATCCTGCGAATTCAAACTCAGATTTAATAAACCGTTCAAATAAATAAATACTTACTCGAACATAGTTGAACCTAAAAATACGTAGTTGAACCTAGCAATACTTAGTTGAACCTAGCAACCGCAGTTGAACCTAACATACATTGGAGATACTAATGTAGTAGAACCTAGAAAATATAGTTGAACTTAACCAATCAAGCGTAGTTGTACTTCAAACATCTAGTTGAACAAAGCCTACATAGTTGAACCTACCAATACGTAGTTGAACCTAGCAATACCTAGTTCAACCTAGCAAGCGCAGTTGGACTTAACATACATTGGAGATACTAATGTAGTTGAACCTAGAAAACATAGTTGAACTTAACCAATCAAGCGTAGTCGAACAAAACCTACATAGTGAACCTAGCACTACGTAGTTGAACCTAGCAAAACTTAGTTGAACCTATCAAGTGCAGTTGAACCTAACATTCATTGGAGATACTAATCTAGTTGAACCTAGAAAACATAGTTGAACACCAAAATCATTCTCAATTTTCAGACTAAAAGTAAGCAAATCATCAAAGTACACACAACACAAAATCATTCTCAATTTTTAGTCTAAAAATAAGCAAATGCATAAGTAAACTATACCTGGCCAGACACATTCTCTTCCTCTTGTTCGTCACGAGACACATTCTCTTCCTCTTGTTGTTGGCAAAACGTATTCTCTTCCTCTTCTTCTTCCCCAGACACATTCTGCTCCACATTCTCTTGCTCTTCTTCTTGTCCAGACACATTCTGCTCCACATTCTCTTGCTCTTCTTCTTGGCCAGACACATTCTCTTCATCATCGTTTTTTGTGAACTCCCTCCCTTCATCTGGAGTTCGGGTTTTTTCTGGTTCTGGAGTTGAGGGACTCTCTTCACTTATATCAGGATTGATCCGATTGACAGAAGGAGACACAGGTTCAGGGGGATTCTCCGAATTGATTACAGGAGGCACCACTTTAGGAACTTTCTCCACTTCTTCCATTCCTTCTATTGGTGTCGTTCCCGTCGTTGCTGCATCGGTTTTAGGAGGAGCGGTTTCAGGAGTAGCGGTTCCTGCGTCGGTGCTCGTTTCAGAAGGAGCCACCCTTGCTGCGCCGGTTTCAGGGGGAGCGGTTCATGCGTCGTTTTCAGGTTGACCCGTCGTTGCTGCATCAATTTAAGGAGGAGCCGTTCCTGCACCGGGTTCAGGAGGAGCCGTCGCTGCTGCATCAATTTCAAGAGGAGCGGTTCTTGCATCGGGTTCAGGAGGAGTCGTCGTTGCTGTGCCGGTTTCAGGAGGAGCGGTTCCTGCATCGGTATCAAGAGTAGTCGTTAATGCTGTGCTGGTTTCAAGAGGAGCCGTTGCTCCCGTCGTTGCTGCGGCGGTATCAAGAGGAGTGGTTCCTGCATCTGTTTCAGGATGAGCCGTCGCTTCCGTCGTTGCTCGGCGGTTTCTGATTCTCGTCAACCTCTTGTTTCATATACCATCTTACCAAATCTCAGTTTAACTATATCTGAATGGATATCTGAAGGAATCAAAAATCAAATCCAAAGAAGAGAAGAGAAGAGAAGGGGACAAAGAAGAGAGATGAGGAGGAGGATTGAACGGGAAATCGACGAAAAGAGAAATCGAATTTGCTTCAAATTTCAGTGAATCGCTCTCGATTTCTCTTCTTCTCTTTTTTTTCAAATTTTGACAGTTACAGAGGGAGGAGATCGAATCGAATGAGAAGTAAAAATATTTACTAGGGCTCGGATTGTGGTTGACAGATGAATCGGGGGCGGATGGGCAGGGATTATCGTAATTATTAGATTTTGATAAGGTCAAAATTATATTTCATCTGATTTTCAATTAAAAATAAATCAAAACAAAATTCTTTATTATAATAGTGATATCCGAGATTCATTTTTTACTAAAAGTGGCATTTTAGCCATTGTTCCATGCGGCAGCTATGAGAAGATTTTTTATTTCACCATTGTTTCTCTATTTCCTTAATGACGACAAAAAAATGTTTTTTCTTCCTTCATAGCGTTATCATCTTTGAAAAGGTGAATAATTGAGTGAGAGATAAATTGGTAATTGCAATTGATTAAATTACTTTAATTGTAAGAAGTGTCTATTTTTATAATATGAACTAGATTTTGGACCGTGCACCTTGCACTGGTTTCTTTTCACAAAATATTTTTAGGCTACAGCAAAAATCGGATTATGTTATCAAATCTAAAATTATGGTCTAAATAAAAATTGATTTGATTTAGCTTAGAATCGGTCTATTTGTTTTAGACAATAAAATGAATCATTTTTTTTTCTGAAATTGAGAAAGTTTCCTCTCAAACCAATCCCTGACATTTCGATTCAGTAACCAAAATTTTGTCTAGATTTTAGATTCGCGCTATGCATGAAGTTTTTTTTAAAAAAATTAACTCCATTCGAAAATAAATTTTTTTTTTTAATACAATAACTCATTCAATTTGTGTAGGATATATTTTGTAGTTTTTCTAAATTTTATATTTAAATTCTAATCTATTTGTATTAGTTTTGGTTTTTATTTGGTTTTATTTCATTTTATTTATGAGGACCAAAAGAATTGAATATTTTTTGTATATAGATTAGCATAGATTATAACCTATATGTGATAATACATTGTTCATTCATCATTTATTTTAGTTTTTTTTAAGTGAGGTTTTCTTTATATTTTAATTTTTAGTATTTATTATTTATAGCTTAATTTCTAATATATTAACCCGTCAACCATTAATAAAAAAATTGTTTGCTAATTTTAAGTTGCTTATCATCTATAAATTTATTTATATTTTTATCTTGTTTGAGTCTTTTGCCATCAGCTATGGATGATAAGTATAAAATTATTGTTTTTGGTATTTGTCATGCATTATAAGTTGTTATTATATTATTATCTTTTTATTATTTTCTAATTTATGAAAAAATATATTTGAGTAAGGTTTGAGATGTGTTGATGATTTTAACTTTTTAAGTCTAGATTCCAACCCGCATATAGTCATTTTTGTAAGGTAAAATATATTTATATAAGGTTTGAGATGTATTGATAATTTTAAGTTTAGATATTAACTCACCTGTAACAACTTTTTATATGGAAAAATATATTTGTATACAGTTTAAAATGTGTAATTTAAAGTCATGATTATAATCCACCAACGATAAATTTTGTTTTTAATTAGAAAAAAAATATTTGTGTACAGTTTGAGATGTATTGATAATTTTAATTTTGATTTTAATTTGTCTTTTTGTTTGGAAATGTATATTTACGTAAAGTCAGAATATGGAGAAATAAATGAAAGTTGAACAATAACTATCCAAAAGCATATTTATAAGGTATTCTTAATTTTGGTCGATACTGATTGGTTTTTTTTTCTCTAACTAGTTGGTATATTTCCTAAATTTCCGATTATGAGCCAAATATTAGATAAATTCTAATTTTTTTTGAATGAAAATTTGATTTTCTAATTATATGAATGATGATCTGCCCATAAATAAAAAATTAGATAAATTAACAATGTTTGAAAACACATGTCATAAATTTAAATTTTACGGTTTGAAGGAGTAGAGTAAGATGGACTAATTTTCTGAAAATTGATTGGCAGATAAGTATTCTATTGAACATTTATTAAAAGTGATAGCTATCTATCTATTTTTAACGTAAAATTAAAATTTCAAGGTTATATCTATAAATTAAAAATAAGAGACTAAACCTGTAAAAATCAAAAGAGAAACTAATTCTAATCTGACCCAGAAAAATGTGACCCGTAAATGTGATCCGTAAAACCTGATCTCATGCTATTTCTTTTTCACGATTAGCTATTCCCCATAATGAACTTTAAACTCTTGTTTTTCTCAGTTATGTTGGTATCATTTAAATCAAAGTTGTTAATCTAAATTCCACTTAACAATACAACCTCGTGAAAAAAACTGAAGCAGATCTACATTTATAAATTTATATATTTTGTGTTTTTGTCTATGTCCTGAAATTTTTACTAATGATCTTAAGATTTCTAACAATAATTTTGCAAAATTTATTTGAATCTTATATTTTTTAAAAAAATATATTTATCTGAAATGTTTGAACTTCAATAAAAATTTCATGCATTTTGTATTTAATTTATTTTGGTAAGTTAACATAAAAAATCTCAATGTTTAAAATTTTCAAATGGCTTGAAATTTTTATTAATGATCTTAAAATTCCTAACAATAATTTTGGAAAAATTTACTCAAATCTCAAATTTTTTAAAAATATTTTTGTCTGAATTTAGTATACTATTTTTTGGTTAATAGATTAAACTAATTAATCATATGTGTGGTAGTGCAATAGAGTTACAATGGTCTTTCATATTATAACAAAAATACCCTTAATAATATTATAACATTTTCTAGAAAATACAATGTCATGTATTGTAAATATCACGGTAGCTTTTGAACATTTATTAAGAATGATTTTATTTTGATAGTTTAGATTTGTAAAAATGCCTTTAGGTGTAATAAACTCTAAGGAAAACCATACACTTGTATCATCTGGTGGTTGCTTCAGCTTAGTCTCTTGTACTTTCCCGAGCTCAGAGGGTTGGCTGCGGGTTGCTCCTTTTCGGGCCTGATAAGGCCTGTAATTCTCCTCAATTTTGGGCCAGCCTTGACAAGTCTCCTGCTGATTTAGAATGGTCGGGGACTTATCGTTTTCGGCCACCTCAAGATAGGTCTGGTGGTCTTCTTCAATTCTCGATGTGTTCTCCTCCAAATGGTTCTTGGCTTACGATAATTCAGTATTACTCAAACATATACTTCGATTACTTGAGACAAATGGTTGAGAACATACAAAGTGTTCATCGAAGGAAAAAAATTCACAATCAGAATCATCAGATATGTGTGGAAAACTAATACGTGCAAAGCAGAGAAAATCTACTTAGTAGTAGCATTTTACCAACTACTGAACTTTCTCCTTGCTCTGAGAAACTGAATCATGTGCTCATATACATCTTCTTTAGCACTTGTGCTAAGCACAAAGTCCATGTGACCATAACTCTCAAGATATAGCAACTCTGGTCTCGAAGGCAGTTTCGCGAGAGTACGTTCCACATCTGTCACATCTGCTAATCCGTCATTACCACCGTATGCCATCCACATCGGTAATGACGCCGGGATGAGGCCAAGTTCGAATTCAGGAGGCTTCGAAAACCCGTAGTTCATTAGGTTTTTCAGCAATCCGTAGTCATATTGCGCAAAGCTCCCTTTCCGAATCACTTGAGAGAGAGTGCATTATAATCAAATCAAAAGGGAGTGTGAATAAGTAAAGCTTAAGGCCATGGAAGGATCAAATGATTAGAGAGAGATCTTACTTTGGAAAAGATGTCGCAAGTTCTTGACAGATGAAGGGTGAGGCTCGTAATCTAGATAGTAGTCTATCCTCGAGGCGTTAAAACAACAGTTCTTCCCTACGATTCGTTGATTCCATTTCAAAAGAAAAATTAGAAAAAGGTGCAAAATCATACACACACAAAGTATCAGAAGATATGAAGAAGTCGTTGGTAAATGCATAGGCATGAGACTAAGCCTTATTTTTCTTTTACTTGAAGCCACAATAGTTCCTTCTAACGACTTTTGTTCTACTTAATTCTCTGTTCTTTCCCTCACAAGCATAGTTATTGAATATATATATGAAAGATAATAGCTTGTCAACAGATTAATACAGGAGGAGAAGAAAAACCTGTTATGGATGTGAGGAAGTCACTGCAATCCATATGTCCTTCGCATAATGAGTCAACAAGTTTAACTAACATATCACTGAAAACACAGAACAAAATGTAGAAAACGTTAGTAAAGAGAAGTCGCACTATAGAAACTCAAACGGAAAACTAGATGAGACAGAAGTCACAACCTTCTAAAGTTTATTTGATGAAGCCCAAGAGCAACGACCATCTGTAAAAGAGGACCAAATATATTAACTTGATTCCCTGAAATCGCTTTTTACGATGATACTTGAAAGCCAAGAGTACCTGATCGAGATGCATAAAAACCATTCTTTCTACAAGTGGAGCTGTGACATGATCCAAATATGATATCGGACAAAGCAACGCAGCTCCTTCAACCATTTCGGCAACATGTGGCTGAGTAAAAGCAGCAAAAGACATGATAGTCCCCTATCGAGAAACTAAAAATGTTAGCTTATCAAGAATTAGCAAAAAAGGGGAAACCTTATACGATTTCAGAAGAATGACATCAACCTGAGAATGTCCAACAAGGAAAATTTTGGAGTTTGCAATTGAATACAAATACTCAACCATTTCTGCAAGATCATACATAGCTAAATCTTGCCAACTCCAGTCCCAAAATTCCTGCATATGAAAGGAAACATTCTCTTCATTGTTAAAGGAACAAAAGACATATTCTTAAGCTATTCCTCTACACTGAAGAAGTGAAAGCAGAGGAACATAAACACATATGTGATGCTGTACCAAAATATTTACAGATGAGACACAATACATAGAGAGGACTCAATACACGTTCATAACTCACAGAGAAGTTCTTAAATACCTTATCAGTTTCAGATAGAGTTATATGTCCATAACTATAGCGTGTACCACGAACATTTCCGACCCATACATCAAACCCATGATCAGCAAGAATGAAACCTAACGACTCTTTAGGAGAATTCAAGAACCATGCATCTCCAGCCTGTTAAGAAAGAGAAGATTTTAGCTTTGAATTTTAACGAATTTTAGAGAAGATTTTAGCTTTGAATTTTAACGACTTTTACCCAGAAAAAATTGATGTTAAGCATTGAAACAAGGTACCATAAATAGACCGTGTTGAAGAAGAACAGGTGGACCATATTGAAGACTTAGATTCTGAGCAGGAGAAGCCACACGTTGAAGAGCAAGTATGTAACCATCTTTCGTTTGAATCTATACATAAAACTGATAGATACTTAGTACGATTCAATCGAAATCCTAATACGAGGCTAAAAAAATGAGTGAATTCAAGGCTTGAGACTGATTCGATGAAATCTCGATACTAGTGGAGAGATGAGAGAGTGATAGAAGATGAGATTACAATGTGTTCGGTGCAGGAGTAACCAGCCGGATGAATGAGGTCAGCGCAGAGAGAACTGACCGGAGATTCACGGAGGAGATGCGAGTCTATTCCGGCGGAGAAGATCGTAAAGGCGATTACCACGGCGAGGAGTAACCACTTCATCGTCGCCGGAGACGACGAACAGTTCCTATCTGAAATTATACAATTACGCTTTTCTCCGCTCCTTTTTTTGGAAATGATTTTATTTTTATTTTGTTAGTGTTTCGTCGTCAACAAATGGCGAATCTTATCTTTACTTGGATATAGAAATATTACAAGATAGCGTTGTTATTGAAGTCATACTATTTTTTAAGTAAGATGTTTGTAATACCAAAACACTTACTTATATGCAAGTAAAGTTTGAAACTAATTGGGTATTAGACGTAGAATTTTGAAAAGAGATCATAAATAGAAATCAGCTTGGCTAACAATTTCTACATATATAATATTATATGATAATCATTTCAGATTGCTTTACGAGTATATCTTTTTTCGAAAATTGAAATAAATTAGTATTTAAGTATCAAACTAAGTTAAAAATGAGGAGAGTGTAAGAAGTTATTTGATCATCTACCGCTCGCTGCACAGACATTAATAGAAACCATGCAAATTAGCATCTAAACCCAAAGCAAAGAAAACTTTCCCATCTACATTACATATCAGCTATTTAAGTGCATAACTGAATTAAAAATTCTAGAAAAAATAATATTTTCCAATTGCTTCACCAATCATTTATATTTACATGTTGTTGCATACTCTGTTCTATACTATGTTACAGTCTTTTGCACAGGACATCCATCCGTCAGCAGTCAACATAGATACGTTTTCTTCTTTTTCTCTATTTTTTAATCAACTTATTTGTATATGAACGATTCAGCAGGCTCAGCAGTCCTTATCCAATGATTCCTTCATCTATTTGAATGATAACATTTCACATTCATATCTCTTTGAATGTTTTTTCATTTATACACTCTTTGATTACTTTTTATAGGCATTAAGCAACCACTATAACAATTTAATACACCTCTTGAATCATTAATTGAAGGAGTACATGCAACATATTTAGATTTCTTCATTCATCCCTTTTTGCCGCACTCAGAGTTTGAAACATATCTGATCTGCGTGATGTATAAACCAGCAACAATGTGCCCTGATATGACCAGATCTACCACATCAATAACATTCAACAGGTTGATCTTGTAGTTAATCTGTTTCACTGAGCTTTAGCTGTATTAACACTCGTATCAGCACCCTTTCTTCTATACTCTGTATGTGGACGTGTGTCAACCTTCATCCTGGCACTTTTTCTTGCTTCAGCTCGTGTTCTGACCTCTGTAGAAGTGCTTGTTACAGCTCCTGTTCTCAAGGCAGTATTTGTAGCCTCTTTGTAACAGATTTCTGAAACGTCTCAGGAATAAAAAAAAATTTCTTTCCGGAGTGATTTCCCCGGTAACATATGCCAATGTTCTCCTTTCTGCTCATACTGTTATTTCTTTCATTCAACGAATTCTCTAAATCATTTGAGCGATTTTTCTCATAATTAAGCTATTTTACAAGTTCTTCAACTTTGGTGTGCAACAACTTCTTCTAATGTACTAGGCCTATATTTTCTTTGCTGGTTTCCACTAGATCCTGTGATAACTCAAATTCGATCTAAAGACTGAACAAGAATTTGTGGGTTTAAAGAGATATCTTTATTAGGTTGAGCCGGAGCTTGAGAGATACAGATCGGTTTAGATCGTCGGAACAAGAACACCGATCTAAACTTTTAGGAAAGGAAATTGAGAACTAAGAACAATTGATATTGCAAAGTTTGTCCTAGGTCTCGAGAGAGGATTTTTTGGATGGATTGAGAGGTCGAAGGCTTCTCCTCTTTATAGTCGATCAGGCCGATCTTCCGGAGATAGCGATTAAATCCAAAATAGGAAAACTTCCTTTGTCGATAGGGCTAATCTTCTATCTTTTCCGGGTTTAATCCGATAGATGGAAGATTTCCATAAATGTGGCCGACCTGAACTTTTACCGGGTCTTTAAAATGGGCCGACCAGAATTCATATCGGGCTTTTAGATATGGTACGAATCTCATCTCTAATAGGAAATCCCTGCCCCCCCCCCCCCCCCCCCAAGTTCGGCATGTGAGGATACGTTACTTGGCGAATTATAAGAGAAATGGCTCGGTATGAAATGAGGTCGGCCGCTGTAAAAGTTAGAATATGAAACATAATTTTACCTTGAGTTCAGATCGGCACGATGTCGGGACCAGATGCTGAATCGCACGCAAAAAGTTCCCGCCAAAAGCAGTGTCGACTAGACCTAGGTCTGCGCATGCAAAACTAGGTTCGACACGTGTCAAACACTTGAGGAGGAAAGAGAATAGGCCGATTTAAATAAAATAAGAAGAAATGTGATAGGTCGTGGAACTCATGATGACTCTGGATAACCATCCTCATTTCTGTATAAATAAGAGGGGCTCGGCTCATAAATTTTCACTTCTGCATTTTAGCGAAACTCTGTCGAAAGGCTTGCTCTCTTCTCTCTCTTCTTTGTTCTTTAATTTCTAGATTTTCCGGTCAGACCTCTGCCGTATTTCGTTCAATCTCCGCCGTTGTGATTTCTCTGATCTGTTTGAAGCCGTCGTCAAAGCTTTAATTTACGATGGGTAAAAGTTTGAGCATCAGAGAGGGCTGATCTGAATCAGGGAAGGACAGGTCGGCTCAAGCGAGAGCCGATGAGATCGGCGTTTCTCTGGAAGAATTTCCTCATATGTCCAGAGACGACCAAGTCGTAAGAGGCCGATCAAAGGGAAAGCAGGTCGTCACCGAAGAGTCAGGTTCAGATCGGTCTTCGGACGTGAGTGACTTATCCGCACTAGATCGGGCCTACCAGGAACGGGTTAGAAAATAAAACCAAAGGGTGGCGGCCAAGCGTTTTCACGCCGACCAGGTCGGGGCCGTTCTGATGGGCGGAGAAGCATCTTCGCGGGAGCCATTTCTAATACCGCAACTGCGGGACGAGTCAGACGCGAGTGGGGGTTCGAATGAGATGGATATCTCGGATGAATTGAATACGGTCATCGTGCAAGATGAGGCAAATCAGTTTGGAATCGTCAATTTGAACCCTCCCGTTAAAAAGATCAAGAGGAAGAAGGGCGAGCCCGTTCCAAGGCCGATCTGCGATAATCCCCTCGGAGTAATGTCGACCAAGTCGACTATGGAGTCCTTGGTCACGCTGAAGGAGGAGTGCGATATTGGTCCTGAGGTCATATTCATGGTACTGAGCCCATCGGAACGGCCGTGGAATTCTCCAGAGGGATGGTTTTGCATCTACGAATGCTTCTTCAGGGATTTCCATCTCTGGTTCCCTCTTCCAAGACTGTTGTTGGAGTTCTGATATATCATGGTTTTTATGGTTTTTAACCATGATATAAGTCCTTTTTATTGAGTCTTTTTGGTCTTTTTAGAGTCCTAGAAGAGTCTTTGCTGGTTATAGCATGTCTGGAGCATAATTGGAGATTTTGGAACCTTTTGGAGCATTCTGAGTTGAAGCCACGAAGTACCTAGCTCGAAGAAGAAAAGTATGCATATGGGTGACGCTCGTCACCAATTTGGTGACGCTCGTCACCCAGAAAGGAAGGGGTCGTGGCTGTTTTCTAAAAGATAGAGGATTATTTACAGTTTTGGCCCAAAAGTTCCAGTATTTGCAAAAAGGCCCCATATCGTGTTTTAGCTTGTATATTAGGTTTTTCAGCCATTCTTTTGGCATATATCTTGTATCTTATTATTTTTGAGAGCTTTAGAGAGAGATTTGTAGCAGAGCTTTTGGAGAGACAAATCAGACTCCTTCAGAGCAGATTTTGAACTCCTTTATTTCTACTTCTTATTTTTTTTCTGCAATCTATTCTTTTCATGATGTTTTCTCAAATCACCATGTCTGAGTAGTTTGTTAGTTAAGTTAGGGCTTTTCAAAGGTTGAAGAAGAGTTTGTAGAATTGCTAAAAACTTATAGGAAATTCATTGGTTCTTCATCTGTGCTTGCATTCATATCGATTTCTTAGACACATCATCTGGATTTCGAAACCCTAGGTTGTTTGATAGATGTGAGAGCATTATTAATCACCTGAACTAGTATTAGATGAGCAAAACGCCCTAGTACAAAGAGATTTGGCTTAGGAGTTTTGTGAACAATTGAACCTGATCATTACTGCATGTTTAGGTTGTTAGGGTTTGCAAAGAGATTTGAAACTCTGTGATTTAGACATAGATAACTTCTGCAATGAGAATTGATTAGTTATATCTTTGCGATTCATGTTCAAGACGGTTTTAATTCATTCCTGATTGCATGCATTCTACACTCTCGGATTCAACCTGCGAATTGTCCTGACTTAGCGCCTTTAGCTTTCTGAACTTTAAGAACAGTCTCAAAAACGCCCACTTGCTTTTATTACTTTAGTTATTTCGCATTAAATTCATTACTTATTGCTTAGCTTAATCCGAACCTGAACTCTTTAGTGTAGTTTACTTACTCCCTTGGGATTCGATAACCCCTTGTACTACAACTGCTTTGCTGTGCACTTGCAGTGGTTTTATTTGGGTAAAACTTGAGCCCTATCAAGTTTTTGGCGTCGTTGCCGGGGAGTAATAGCTGCCTATCGATTTCTAGTATTAGGATTTTGTCTAAGTTTTTATTTGTTTACTGACTTTTTGCTGCTTTTCTTTGTTCCTGTTTCAGGTGTATGCCTAATCGCAGAACCAGAAGCAACAAAGAGAAGGAGCTTGTGACTTTTAGCATCGACGAGCTTGCTAGGTTGGAGAGAACTAACAGGAAAGCTAAGAAGCAATCTACAATGGTCGCTCCACTTATCTTGGTTGAAGATGCAGAAGGTCACTTGGTTGACAGGGAAGGAAATAGGAGGAACGAAGAGGGGCAGAGAATTGATCAAGAGGGAATGTCATTGTTGAACAGCAGGTTCAGCAAGTGGCTGAGAACGTGGGAGTCCCTGCTGCTGTCAATAACGCTGCTGGGCGTTTTGTTCAGAGGACTCTAGGTGACTACAACAGACCTGATCAGTTATATGCCAACAGAGCTGCAATCCGACCTCCTGCCTTCCAGAGGAACGATTTTGAGGTTAAACCAGTCTATTATCAGCTGGTTGGCCAGCATCCATTCCATGGTTTACCTCATTAGCATCCTATGGATCACATAGAGAGATTTGAGGACTTGGCTTCCAGTGTCAAAGCTAATGGGGTTAGCAATGACTTTCTGTTCTGCAAGCTTTTTCCTTACTCTCTTGAAGGAGAAGCTG